CACACACACACACTCACACTCACACTCACACTCTCACACTCACACTCACACACACACTCACTCACACACACTCACACACACACACTCACTCTCACACACACACACACACACACACACACTCACACTCACACTCACACTCTCACACTCACACTCACACACACACTCACTCACACACACTCACACACACACACTCACTCTCACACACACACACACACACACACACACTCACACTCACACTCACACTCTCACACTCACACTCACACACACACTCACTCACACACACTCACACACACACACTCACTCTCACACACACACACACACACACACACACTCACACTCACACTCACACTCTCACACTCACACTCACACACACACTCACTCACACACACTCACACACACACACTCACTCTCACACACACACACACACACACACACACTCACACTCACACTCACACTCTCACACTCACACTCACACACACACTCACTCACACACACTCACACACACACACTCACTCTCACACACACACACACACACACACACACTCACACTCACACTCACACTCTCACACTCACACTCACACACACACTCACTCACACACACTCACACACACACACTCACTCTCACACACACACACACACACACACACACTCACACTCACACTCACACTCTCACACTCACACTCACACACACACTCACTCACACACACTCACACACACACACTCACTCTCACACACACACACACACACACACACACTCACACTCACACTCACACTCTCACACTCACACTCACACACACACTCACTCACACACACTCACACACACACACTCACTCTCACACACACACACACACACACACACACTCACACTCACACTCACACTCTCACACTCACACTCACACACACACTCACTCACACACACTCACACACACACACTCACTCTCACACACACACACACACACACACACACTCACACTCACACTCACACTCTCACACTCACACTCACACACACACTCACTCACACACACTCACACACACACACTCACTCTCACACACACACACACACACACACACACTCACACTCACACTCACACTCTCACACTCACACTCACACACACACTCACTCACACACACTCACACACACACACTCACTCTCACACACACACACACACACACACACACTCACACTCACACTCACACTCTCACACTCACACTCACACACACACTCACTCACACACACTCACACACACACACTCACTCTCACACACACACACACACACACACACACTCACACTCACACTCACACTCTCACACTCACACTCACACACACACTCACTCACACACACTCACACACACACACTCACTCTCACACACACACACACACACACACACACTCACACTCACACTCACACTCTCACACTCACACTCACACACACACTCACTCACACACACTCACACACACACACTCACTCTCACACACACACACACACACACACACACTCACACTCACACTCACACTCTCACACTCACACTCACACACACACTCACTCACACACACTCACACACACACACTCACTCTCACACACACACACACACACACACACACTCACACTCACACTCACACTCTCACACTCACACTCACACACACACTCACTCACACACACTCACACACACACACTCACTCTCACACACACACACACACACACACACACTCACACTCACACTCACACTCTCACACTCACACTCACACACACACACACACAAACAAAATTGCTACTTTAAATAAAATACACTTTAAATGAAATAAAATTGATTTTTTTAGACTGAACCAATTATAGACTGAACCAGGTTTATTAGTTAATTATAACCACAAAAATACTTTAAATAAATTATTAATTGAAATTGAAATGAAATACAATTTAATTAACACATTTATCTGTTATTATTTTATTTCAGCTATTTCACATTTCTCATTTTCATATAGATTAACTTGATATGCTAAAATAACTCAAACTAATACTGAAATAAAAAAAGAATAAAAACGATTTATACATACCAAAATTTTTTTTTAAATAAAAACATAACATATGAAAACTCAAACAAAATATTAATAAAAAATATAATCATATCTCAGTGACACTAAAAACACCGTGGGCATTCTGAAAACCAGCAGGGTCTAAACAACACCGGATGCCACTTTCCACAAACACGAGACATCTTTCCTGATATCTTGTGTTCCACAGAAGAATACGGCAGTAAAGCGCACTACACTGAGCTCAAGTCAGCGCAGATGAAGCTGTAACGTGACTCCTGAAGATGGGAACCAAGAGCAGAGCAGGACGCTCCAAAGACTCGACGGCGCGAAAAGTGAGACGCCAATTTAAGTGTAACTAGAGTCTGTGTGTTCCTCTGGGGATCTGATCAACACCTCACTGAAACACGAGAGGAACACGCTGCAGTCACGGAGAAATACTGATCAGATCAGAGCCGGAGTCACATGCTGCTAATTCTGGACCATAAACACTGATGCTTTCACATCCTGATGAAGAGAGGAGAAGCTCTCGGGTCACGAGGTCACGCACACACGGTCAGAGGTCAGATAAAGGTCAACCCCCATCGAAATCAATCAGTCAGATGAAGCCATCAGCATCAGCTGCTCTTCCCTTCACACACTACAGTTCAGAAGCTTAGGCTCATTTATTTGAGCAAAGATACTGTAAAAATGTGAAATATTATTATGATTTAAAACAGCAGTTTTCTATGTGAATCTCTGTTAAACTGTAATGTATTTCTGTGATGCACAGCTGTATTTTCAGCATCATTCCTCCAGTCTTCAGTGTCACATGATCTTCAGAAATCAGTATAATATTCTGCTCGAGAAACATTTCTGATTATTATCAATGCTGAAAACATTAATATTTGTGTGTAAACTGTGATGCATTTTATTTTTCAGGATTCACAGATGAACAGAAAGTTCAGTAGAACAGCATTTATTTGAAATCTACTAACATTATAAAAGTCTTTAGGGTGATTCATTTAATGCAGCCTTGATGAATAAAAGTATTCAACTTTGAACCTTATGTGAAGGAAGTTTTCCAAACTAAAGGCGTTCAATTTCTATTGCGTTTTGTAAAGGATATCATACTTATAATCATATAATCATATTATACTGTAGTGTAAAATGTGGCAGTAACACTATAATGCATAATAAAATAATTTCAATATATTAATTATGCCTTATAATGCATTGTATGATCTCATTTATAATTGCAACCACAGTTAATATACTTTATAATACACCGTTAGAAAGTGCAATGCATTAAAACATTTTATAATGCATTTTAACTTTGGTTACAATTTTTTATTAAAAGACGAAGCATTACATTATGAATACCTTTATAATGCACTATACACATAAAGCCTTACCAAATTCTGGCTGTTCGTTTTTGAATGAGACGATTCTATGTGCGCTACATTTGGACAAAAACAAAGAACAAAGTGTTACATTGTTTCACTTCCTCTAGAATTTAGATCGGTCAAAACTAACTGGATAAGATTAATAAAATACATCAAATATAGCTAAAGCAACTGAAATAAAAAAAAGAGATCAGTCACTATTAAATGTTTGAGGCGCTGTCAGCGTGAAAGAGTGGCGGGAGATTACACGGGAAGTGCGGAAGAACGTCAGGAGGAGGGCATTTATAACGTCGGGAGAGAACTGATAAATGCCTTTCAGCTTCACCATATCATTTAAAACACATCCCCAATGTTATTCTGGAGCAAAAACACATTTACACACAAAACCTCATCTTATAATCAAAGATAAATATATAGATACTAAGAATAAAACGCCTTTGATTCAGGACAGACGGATTACGAAGCAGATGTGATGCCGGGCCCCGGCCCTGCTTCTGTCTCTGATTAATCACTGGTTTCAGCACGACTGCTGCTCTTCTATGAAGGAAATTTCCCTTCACTCATCCAAAGCCTTTTCTTTCTGGTGTTCAACTCTGCCTCGGCTCCATCAGACGTGTAGTTGTGCGTTTCAGAGGCTCATTAATCATGCTATGAGACGCGGGGCCCCTAATCCAGGCCTGCAAACCCACTTTATCAAGTTTCAGAGGCCCCGAATGCAGCTCCAAACACAGAAAGAACCAGCCGATAAATCAAAACAACATCTTATTTCAGCGCAGCGTCCAAACCTCACACTTGTCAAAACCTGACACTGAAACAGTTCAGCCTAAAACCATTCTTAAAAATATATATATATATATATATATATATATATATATATATAATGATAAATTAGCACACTGCATCCAGGCGTTTTTTTAGTTTTCATTGTTTTTATTGTTTATCAGCTTAATTTCAAGGCTTTACACAATAATGATAATTAAATTATTGTGCTTAATGTGTTTAATTGTCGCAATAATGATAACCTTGAAACAAAGTTTTATAGCCGATAAATCAAAACAACATCTTATTTCAGCGCAGCGTCCAAACCTCATACTTGTCAAAACCTGACACTGAAACAGTTCAGCCTAAAACCATTCTTAAAAAAAAATATATATATATATATATATCGCCCTCATGTCAATCAAACCTGTTTGACTTTCTTTCTTCTGCAGAACACCAAAAGAAATGAGTCCAAAAAAACACTTGGACATTTGTTAAATGATTTTGTCTTGTGTTTCAAATGAATGCTGCAAAAAAGCGAATGCAAAGATACATATTGAGATATGTACTGAATATTGTCAAAACTAGGAAATATATTGAGATAATATCAAAATCAAAATGAGAAAAAAAAAAGATTGAGATATTTACTGAATATCATCCGAAATTAGGAAAATACTGTACTGAGATAAATACTAAATATCATCAAAATGAGGAAAAATGGTGAGATAAATACTGAATATTGTCCAATTTTGGAGAAATATTTTTGAATCTGAACTTGCTCCACTATCAGACTATAAATCCTGTGAATTCAGATGAATCTCTCTCACCTCGTTTCTGCATGAAGGTGAAAAGGTGGTCCAGGAACTCCTTCCTGTGCGGGTCGTTATCCAGCTCATATAACTATCAGACACAAATCAACTCATTACACAAACTCAGCATCTTCATACACACCCATCTGAAAATAATCATCCCAGACTCAATTAAACTAACAAATTAAATAGGTCAATTAATTCACACTGGCGTAGGATTTACTCTGAAACAAATTTCAATAATACATTTCTAGGAAATTTCACAAATAATTACAAAGAAATTACAAGTATCACATTAATTAAACATGAAATTTTAAATAGAAAGAATGAAATAATATTTGCAAAACACGCTCCAATAACCTTTGTTTTATTTACAAATGAAAAATATTTTTTTACAGTGTTGACATACAGATTGAAGTAAATTATACAATAATAAAACTGCACCTTTAAATGAAATTAATGAATTAAATTGGTCCATTAATACACAATGAAACAAACATTTGGTCTAGGATTTACATTGAGACAACTTTTATGCAGAGATTGTTTGTAAATTTAGCAAATAATTACAAAAAACAGCAAGCAACTTATTGAAATAAACATGAAATTTTGAAATAGAAAAGCTGAAGTAGTATTTTTTTGTAAAATGTACTCCAATAAACTATTTTATTTGCAACTTCAAATTTTTTTATTTTTTTGCAGTGCAGACACACAGATTGCAGTAAATTATATAATTAAAATTGTACCTTTAAATTAAATTAATGAATTAAGTAACACTGAACTAAATGCGAGTAGAAAAATAGTAGTTTCTCGAAAATAATTTGCTATATTTACAACATTGAAATTTTTTTTTTTACAGTGCACAGAAACAGATTGCAGTAAAGTATTACAAATAATGTTAAACATGGATAAACTCACCTTGGCAAAATCTCTGGACGCTTCCCCTCTTCCACGAGCAACATCCCCATCATCCGGCCAGGATACACCACCGTTCTACACACACACACACACACACACACACACGCACACGCACACACACGCACACACACACACACACACACACACACACACGAAACAGTAAATAAGGTTGTGTGTCTTCCTCCTGTAACACTCGTCCTCCCCTCATGTCCTCTGACCTCCAACACACACACACACTCATGCAAAACTATATAGACATTAAAAAAATAATAAAAAATGGCAAAAACACAACAAAATGGCTAAAAATTTTACTAAAATGAAAATGGAAAATATAAAAATAAATAATAAAAAAAACAACTAATTCAAAAGAGTATATGAACAATATAAAACTAATATAACAGTGACTGGTGCTCATGGATGTTCTGACAGATGCAGGACATTTCGATTTTAATCTGTTACTGGATGTTTTGATCTCTTCTTCACTATAATCAAGCATCAAACTAAAAAAAAAACAGTATGATGATTTCATAAATCAAACCAATATATGCTCTGAATCTTAAAAGCAGTACAACACTAGGCTTGGGAGATGTCTACAAAATTGTCTACAATTATTTTTGGTGGGGGGGGTTGGGCGTTAATTGTAAATCCTTATAAGGCACGGAAAACAAATAACGATTCCTAACACCGTGTCTACACCGGACACGAGCGGCGCGGCAAAATACTATAGAACCACTGATCTATAATAGAGATGCATTATATATAGATCAGTCTATAGAACTCATTATAATCAGTGATGCTGTCTACACTGGATGCGGCGCGACATGAAAAAATCCCAGACAGTAAACTGATGCCGCGTTCTATTTATGACGTGCTGACACCAATTTCAAATGATTTTCAATAGTCGCTTTGTCGCGTCCAGTGTAGACAGACTTTAGCTGATGCGACACGGTGCGACACGACAACTGTCGCGTCCGGTGTAGACACGGTGTAACGGTTCCCGGTTACATTACAGTAAATATAATTTCACTTACCACATAAACAGAGTAAGAAGAGATGACTGAGGACGATGGCGAATGATTTGCAGATCCTCAGCACCACTGACAAACATCTAATCTTGTAAAATCTGTGGAAAGTACTGCCTCTCCATAGTATAAACGGAGTACGTGCGATCGCGAATCTCGAAAGTGAAAGTGAAACTAAAAAGCCATCGTGCATTCAAATGCCAGGTATAATAGCGGCTCCCTGAAGCCCAAATATATATACAAACCCGATTCCAAAAAAGTTGGGACACTGTACAGTTTATTTCCTTTAGGGGTTCCGTATACACGTGATTTTCTTTCCGAACACGGTATTGGGATGCGGCGGATTGCGGGGATATGGGGGGGGGGGGGGGATTCACGGCCCAACCCTATACAACACATGCTTTCGTACTGCTTGTATTTTCTCTTCAGTCTCTTAAGAATGCAACCCGATCCTTGTTTTCTCCCTGACGGCTGTATTGTTTCTCGTGTCGGTCTAAATCTGTTAGCAGGTTTACAGTAAGTGGCGGGTTAATCACGTTACCGCGGGGCATGAGAGAATCTCTGGCAGCTAATTAAGAGTCAAAAAATAACTCTGATCTCTGATGCTCGGACTCGCTTCACTGGGTCACAGAGAGACGGGCTTCTCTGAGATCACAAACCAGACACAGACCACGAAATAAAAGAAAACCACACATCTACTTCAGACCGGTTCAGAATCAGAGGGAGCGTCAGTGTCTCAAATATCAGATGAATCTCTGAAATCCAGACAAACTCACTCTGCACACATAAATACAGCCTCTGTGTATGTTACCGTCATCATCTGTGACGTGCTGAGCTCTCATGTTTACACACATAACCTGACTGAATTATCAAAAATAAATGAAAACTAACAGATTTGAAAAATAATTGAAGGCTAATGCTTTAATGCATTAATGCATTATTTGGTATGTAATATTTATAATTATCTTTTTAAATATAATATTTATGTTTATAATTATATTTAATTACAATTGAATTCATAATTTATACATTTAATAATTATTAACTTAATTCTATTTGTTAAATATTTAATATTATTTTAAATTGTTAAAATAGTTTATAATGCTTATACACTTGTACACATATGTGCAAGTTAAAAAAGCTACATTCACAGCACAGAAAACAGTTTATTTGCACTAGCAGGTGAAGTTTGGGACACATGGACTATTTCTGTATTAAAGTGATAAACTCTGAAATAACATTTAAGGAGGTCTGGAAATGATGAAGTGATCGAATAATATGAAAACGCTGTTATAGTTGAGCTCCTTTGTCTAGAAGAATAATTAAAATATTCATTTTATAATAAGTTTTACAAGAAGGAGCCATTTAAATTGGTCTACAAAACAAAACAGAAACACGTTCAAACATTTCACTGCAAGTGAACATAAAAAAAAAACATTGGAACTGACACAAGAGCAACTTCTGTTCTGTAGAGTACAGCGCTTGCAACGCCATCGCCATGGGTTCAATTCCCAGGAAATGCATGAACTGATTTAAAAAATGCCTGGAATGCAATCCAAGTTGCTTTGGATCAAAGCACCTGCCAAATGCATTAAAGTGAATATAAATGTAGAGGTTCTGAGTCGTAAAGTGAATGCAGGTTTAGAGTAGAAATGCTCAGTTATGGGAGTTTATCTGAGCATGTGTGGCTCTGGAAAGCCCCGTGTCGGGTGATAATGTCCTGTTCTGCTCTCTCAGCACGACTCTTTAGAGCCGTCAATCTCTAATCCTCATCAAATAATTGGGTCTATGCATTCCACCCGTGGAGCCACACAGATCATCCGCAGGGAGCAGGAGAACGGCGGGTTTATCCGATAACGGCTGTACAAGAGCTCAGAGCCACAGAAAATCACTCAATCACTCTAATCTCAATTAAAGTGTGTAACCTGAGGAAAGTTTTAAACGAGAGCATCAACAGAACGACTCCAGGAGCCAAAACAAACAGCCCTGATCGAGCCCAACAAACACAACTCAACCAGATCAACAAACTACTCAACCAGATCAACAAACACAACTCAACCAGATCAACAAACACAACTCAACCAGTTCAACAAACCACTCCCCCAGATCAACAAACCACTCAACCAGATCAACAAACACAACTCAACCAGATCAACAAACACAACTCAACCAGATCAACAAACACTAGTCAACCAGATCAACAACAAACACAACTCAACCAGATCAACAAACACTAGTCAACCAGATCAACAAACACAACTCAACCAGATCAACAAACCACTCAACCAGTTCAACAAACAAAACTCGACCAGTTCAACAAACACAACTCGACCAGTTCAACAAACACAACTCAACCAGACCAACAAACACAACTCAACCAGATCAACAAACCACTCAACCAGACCAACAAACACAACTCAACCAGTTCAACAAACA